GGCCCCCCGCTGAGGCTCCAGCTGTGCGACACGGCAGGGCAGGTAAAGACCCCCGGGAGGGAGACCCCCCCCCAGTCCCCCCCCCCCCGCTGGGGCGGTCGCCTGCTCTCCCGTGCCTGGGAAGGCCGCGCGGCGCCGGGCGCGATGCCCGAGGCGGCGTGAGGTGTGCCTGCCTACCTGCCTGCCTCCCCAGCCGCGTCCTTCTTCCTCCCTCCCTTCTCTCCGCCCGGCAGGAGGAGTACGAGGGGCTGCGGCGGCTGTGCTACGGGCGGGCCGAGGTCTTCCTGCTCTGCTTCAGCGTGGTGGCGCCCGCCTCCTTCGCCAACGCCCAGCCCCCGACGCCCCCCAAGGCCGCCCAAGGCCTCCGGACGCTCTCCAAGGCCTGGTGGAGCAAGTACGGCTGCCTGCGGCCCTAGCCCGCGCCTGGCGGCGGACAAGCTTCCTTCGCGCGGAGACGGGCCAGCAGGGACACGGCGTTGGCGAGCTCGTCCCAGTCTCCTCGGCCAGAGGCTTCCGAGGCGCCCGCCGCTGACTCCCGGCGGGGAAGGAGGAGGGCCGTCGGGGTGCATCTCTGCGTGCCTCTGCAGCTTATCAAGAAAGAGCGGCTGGTTGGTCTCTGCGGCGCGGAGAGCGGAGGGCCTTCCCGGCCCGCTCCTGCCAGGCGGCGCGCCTGGATCCGTCTCTCCCCACCTTCCGGGGTGGGGGTGGAGAAGGGCCGACCTGGCACGGCTCCCTTGGCTCTCTCCCAGGCGCTGGGCGCTCCCCGGACCGGGCCGGCCTCCCTGACTCTCAGGGGCGCCCGGAACAGCTGAACTCTGGGGCCGGGGGGGGAGGCGTGAGAGCCGGCGGTCCCGAAGAGAAGAGAAGAGAAGAGGCGCCTCCCGTCCCGCGTCCCGCCGTGTCTCCGCCGGAGAAGGCGCCTGCCATCGGGGCGTCCCTGTGTGTATGTGTGTGTTTGTGCGTCCAAGCCTGGCCTGGTTTTGCGGACGGAGCGCATTAAAGGCGGCCCTGGAACCCGTTCCCTTCTCTGGCCTGCCCTGTGTTCGAGGTCATGCCCGGCGTGGGGGGTGGGGGTGTCCTCAGGGCGGTGGGGGGAGGGGGAAGAAAGGTGTTCAGGGAAGAAACCCAGCGGGGCGAGGCAGGGCATCCCCCTGAACCACATCCGGCCAGTTTGGTGTCGTGGTTAAGTGCTCTAATTTGGGAGAACCGGGTTCGAGTCCCCACTCCTCCACTCGCACCTGGCTGGATGACCTTGGGCAAGCCGTAGTTCTGTCAGAGC